CCTGGTTGGTCTCTAACTAAAACTGCTTGATTACAGCACCTACATAACATTGCGTATCTAGATCTAAACAGATTTTAACAAAGGGAATTTGACATAGAAGACACATGATGACCCGAAAATGAGATTTTCATGTTTTATTACTGTTTACAGAGAATATCACTGAGAATTCTCCCCCATTTTAAACTTCCTGCCAGTCTATAGGTCCCACTGACAGAAATGTTCTTGGAGATGCAGTATTTTAATATAAAGGCTTGTTGTCATTTTTCAAACAGTAATAATGTCTTGGATGCAACAAAGGCATTCTCATTGGTGTTAACTGACCCAGAGGATGTCCTGGGATTACCTGAGTCTCTTCTTCTTTTGACTGTGGAGGCAGCAGCTGCTGATGCTCATGCTGGCCAGAAAGGATCCAGGTTTAATTACTTTTTGTTGTAAAATAATATCATTACCTGTATACATGATTTGTATTGGGAAGTCCATTTAAGGCATGTCAGAATATACAAAAAAAATGTCAGACAGAGGAGATTGGGCAAAAATGTCCCACTTACTGTTAATATTGAACATAGCCTTCATTATCATCAATCCTAAGCTTATCTTGCCATGAAATGTAGAAGGCCTCGAACATAATCAAGTGTTCTTGACCATCTTTTAATTATCATCACTGACAATCCAACTTGATCTTTTAAAGATGTACGTGTACATTTAGGCTTTGTGAATTTACTACATTTGTCCAGGAGACTGAAATGAATACAAATAAACAGTTCAAATAATTATATTTTATATTGTCTTTGCAATACTTACATTGACAATTTAGGCATCTTACTGTTGTGAGCTTTTAACCCTTTTACTTTCAAGTGTGAAATTTTTAGTTGATTTCTCAGGTTATTGATAATTTTGTTATTAATTCTACCATACAATGTAATTATTTACTGATAAGCACTTGATGTTATAATAGCAGTTTACATGTAGTTCTTACATGAAGAATGTAATTGCACATCACATCAATGGACCATACTAATCAGTTGATGATTAAATCTAGACATATTTTTATGGAATTGATAATGATTATAATTACATTTTTGTTCATCAGTAAAGACTTTGATCCTAAGATAGGACCTTGGAAACTCAGCTTAGATTTGCCATGTTATGAGCCGTTTATGAAATACAGGTAAGGTGTCCCCTTGTATCAATTCCTTCAGGCAGACTTTTATGTAACCTCAAGAGCTATTATCATGAACATCTATCCCTTACTTGGAGTTTATTTTTTCCAATTGTTAGTTAAAGTATTCTATGTAAAAACTGGAGGGAATCCCTTATCAAATAATATGATTGGAATGGCCGTTCATGCATAAACTGGCAGGCAATGTCGCTTGAAATTTTCAGCTTAAAAATCGTTAACAAATACACAGTAGAATTATGAAATAAATTAAGTCTTGCTATACAAGATAATGTACAGATTGTGAAGAACCTCAAGGACATAGTTATTATTAAGAGTTTCTTGATTGTGTAACAAAGAAATTACCCCTGACAGACAGAGAGACAGACAGACACCTAAGTTATTTAATTTACATCAGGGTGGCTATCAATAGAGGCCCTGATAAGATGTTCATAAAGAAATGAAACCTTCAATAAATTATTACAGATTAAAAGTGTTAATTGAAAATTTATGTTACATACAGAAGACAAACTTAAAGCTACATAAAGTTAGTAATTTGTTAGCTGAGGATGTGATAAGTCTGAGTCACTCTGACGGTAAGCACTGTTATGAAGTTACCCTAATTTATACCCTTTAAGTTGTACTGCTCTAACCAATCATGTACACTGGAGTTGACACAATTGGCTTTTTGTTTTGCTCAACAGTCAGAACAGAAGTCTGCGTGAGAAAATGTACATGGCCTTCATCACCAGAGCTTCACAGGNCCGTTTATGAAATACAGGTAAGTTGTCCCCTTCCATCAATTCCTTCAGGCAGACTTTTATGTAATCTCAAGAGCTGTTATCATGAACATCTATCCCTTACTTGGAGTATATATTTTCACAATTTTTAGTTAAAGTATTCTTTGTGAAAACTGGAGGGAATCCCTTATCAAATAATATGATTGGAATGGCCATTCATGCATAAACTGGTAGAGCATGTCGCTTGAAATTTTTGTTTTAAAAATCGTCAACAAATGCACAGTAGAATTATGAGATGAATTTAGTCTTGCTATACAAGATAATGTACAGATTGTGAAGAACCTCAAGGACATAGTTATTATTAAAAGTTTCTTGATTGTGTAACAAAGAAATTACCTCTGGCAGACAGAGAGACAGACAGACACCTAAGTTATTTAATTTACATCAGGGTGGCTCTTTCAGAAGCAAAAGCACCTGCTATCAATAGAAGCCCTGATAAGATGTTCATAAAGAAATGAAACCTTCAATAAATTATTACAGATTAAAAGTGTTGATTAAAAATTTATGTTACACACAGAAGACAGACTTAAGTTAGTAATTTGTTAGCTGATGATGTGATAAGTCTCTGACGGTAAGCACTGTTATGAAATTACCCTAATTTATACCCTTTAAGTTGCACTGCTCCAACCAATCATGTACACTGGAGTTGACACAATAATTGGCTTTTTGTTTTGCTCAACAGTCAGAACAGGAGTCTGCGTGAGAAAATGTACATGGCCTTCATCACCAGAGCTTCACAGGGAGACACAGATAACTCAGGGATTATCGAGGAAATAAGGCAATTAAGGTACTTTGATACATACAGTCATGCGCATCAGGCTAGCTTGCCCCTTCACCCCTTCACTTTTTATGCGGACAGGGTGGGGATTAAGATGAAAATAAGATTTACCAGTCAGAAATATTAAAGCTGTATTGCCTAAAAATATAAAATTAAAAATATTATTATTAAAAGAAACCTTCCTACAGGGATGGGCATCAAGCCCGTCAGCACATGCCACTAGCCCTTGTACCCTTTCACCGTAAAAAATTCATTTGTTCCTACAAACCTGTAAAGCAATAGCTTAACTCTCAGTTTTTTGTTGTTGTTGTTGTTGTTTTCAACAGGCAGGAGAAAGCCACCCTTCTGGGATTTGAGAACTACGCATTTTTGTCCCTGGATTCTAAAATGGCTGATAGTCCCTCCGAAGTTTGGGAAATGATCAGTAACTTAAAGGATAAAAGCAAAACAGCAGCACAAACAGAACTGGTCACACTGCAGGTAAAAATAAACTGTCATTTTATCACAGAATGGTACTGCAGTGTTATTATATTAATTCCAGTTTTACAACAGCAATAACAACAACAAGGGAGGGAGGATTGGCAGATATCCGAGTGACTGAACAAGGTGATGGAACATGAAGTGCGAGGCAAGACAGCACCTGACTGGAAGGGGACCAGATGGGGTGATTAATTAATTTTGAATTCCTGGAAGGATTTCGGTTCATTTTCCCTTCACTACAACTGTGTATAATCACAGTACATACATGAACATGTAATATGTATTCTCTTCTTGTCATGGATGAGTTTCTTGAAGACTTCTTGTAACATTGTTCTCTTGTATTATTTCTTAAGGCATTTGCGCAGGAAAATGGTTTCATTGGAGACCTAAAACACTGGGACATACCTTTTTGGTCCCAAAAGCAAAGGGAACATTTGTTCAGGTTAGAAAAAGGTTTTAAATGTTTTGTCATTGTTGCTGTGGTAGACTTGCCACAAGCGGACCTCATGAGTTTCAGGGTAGAATAGCTAAGTGAGCAAAGCAAGCTGCGATGTTTTAGGCTGCAAAGCAGGCGAGTGAGCAACGAAAGGACTTTATTGAAAGTCTATTGCTGTGGCTCTATTATGACTTGTGATTGTAGAAACTCAAACCGTTTTCTTAACTCTGTTTTTAAAAATCTCACTTCAGTTTCACAGATGAGCAATTGAGGCCATATTTTCCATTACCAAGGTTAGAATTGAATTTATTTATTTAACTTCTATTGATTGATTTAATATTTTATTTTCTTTGAATTCATAGTTCAAGCGATCAATAACTTTAGCTCCTGGCAGAATTGGTCTGATATAATAGATTTGATGAGTGCTATTTACAGCCATACACTGTTAGTACTGTAGTAGTGGAAAAGGAGTGTATACATTAGCTGGGCCGAAGCCAAGGGCATGGCAGAAGACAGGGTTGTCTGGAGAGTCAGAGGTGCAATCTTATGGGACCCAACCTCCTCCTAAACAACGAACTAAGATACTAGTACTGTGGTACATGTAGCTATTTGGACTGATTGTTCTAGAAAGTAACTGGGTCTCTGACTGTAAAGAAGGGCAGGGTAGTTATTGCAAAAGTAGGCAAACCTGCTGATAAGAGAAGAACAAACTTGTTTACAAAATAGTATCAAGTGATTGCTGCTTTCTTTATACTTTTAGAGTTCTTGATGGGCTTTTTAAACTGTCATCTGAATTGTTTGGTATAACCATTAAGGTTTGTTTGAAAGCCTCTTTTGACTTAAAAGTTGTTGTTTTTGTAATTATTAATGTTGACGTCCTAGATATTGTATTTTAGCAGGTGCACAAAAAAACAATCGTGATTTTGCTATCCAATTTTTCACACGCTTGACGGCGGTTAATCATGTTTTCCCACAATTAGTCCCGGCGCTTCATGTTTTTCGCGCTCTCAGCCCTGGCTCAGCCCTGGTTTTCGTGTGCTTTGTCGGTTTCCTGCTTCCAGTTCCGTTACATTTTTTTCGGCCTCAGTCTCAGTTACATGTGCATGTTTCTCTGTGTCGCTTCCCACCTCACGTTTTCCCGCTCCCGGTCTGGATGACCTGTTTATGATGACTAGTGTTTGAAAACTGCATAGGCTTTGGTAGCAATACAGTCATATCCCAAGAGCTTGTGGTTTTGTGGGTGCTAACTTTCTATAATTTTAGCCCGCAGATGGTGAGGCAGACGTGTGGCACCCAGATGTAAGATTTTTTAACATCATGGATGAAAATGGTACATAAAGTAAAACTACAAAATGATTTCTAATGTGTATTTTTAGTGCCATGGCCTTATGGTTAGTGCTCTCATCTCCGTATCGAGTGGTCCGGATTCAAGCCTTGGCCAGGGACATTGTGTTATTTCTCGGGCAAGACACTTTACTCTCATAGTGCCTCTCTCCACCCAGGTGTATAAATGGGTACTGGCAAATTTAATGCGCTAAACTTGCATCCCATCTGGGGGTAGTAGAAATACTCCTAGTCGCTTCATGCTACAGAAATCGGGATAAGCTCCGGCCTGATGGGCCACTTTGCTGTATGCAAAGTATTTTTAGTGAGAGTTTCAATGTTTCACCAAGGAGCTTTTGTCTAATATAATCTAGTCGTGACATGTTGCATTCATTCGAGGCTGACTTTCTCTGTAAATTTATGTTTTGCTTCACTTCATATCAATGTTTCATCATGACCATTGTTTATCAAGCCATCTTATTGACTATTCCATCCTTACATGAAGTGTTTACATTTTTCATTTTATTTTCCCGTTTATTTCTTCAGGGTATCACATAGCCTCGTTCTACTTGGATCCATATTCCCGACCGGCAGAAAAGCGCGGGGGAGCCTGGATGGACCAATGTCTTGGTAATAGGCCACCACCAAGTCACCTTTTGCCTCTGCGTCAAAACGAGTCTTTGTGCAAAACCACTCATAAGGGAATGTGTTCCGCCTACATGTTCATTTTCATGGTAATCAAACTCATTTTCATGAGAAAGGTTTTGCCGGACGAAAACTCGTTTTGAAAAAGAAGCACAAGGTAACTCGGAAATGGCCTATTCTTTTCACTTGTTTGAGCATTTAGTGATCTACAGTGATAAGATAACACAGATTTATTTAGCTGTGTTAGGAAAATGGTGTATTGTATTGATATTTTTGTCATTGTAAACACCTCAGCAAAGAGTTAGTCGCCCATTTCAGGGCGCCCGGGTGCCACAGGCAAATAACTTTTGCCTTTGGGTGACTGGAAAAACTTACTTTTTTAACATATTGATAAGTTTAAGTGCTGGGAAACCAGGATTTCATGGTTAGGAACCGTTGAGCTGCGTATAATTTTTCTTAGAACACACCCTTGCATTTTCAAAGGAAAATATTTCATTGAGTGTTGCAGAGTAAGTCTCAAGACATTAGGGAATGTAAACTATTTGTTGTTTTCTGCACACAGGCAAAAGTAAAGTGCTCAACAGAAAGCCTGTAGCTTACCTGGTTTGTAACCAGTCTCCTCCTGGAGCAGACGCTACACCTTCTCTTATGACATTCAGAGATGTGGAGACACTCTTCCACGAGGTGAGCAAGTTCTTATTAAGAAATTGAAAACTATTTCAAACTTATCGCCGTGTCCCAGATTTAGTTTCTTGATCACGGTTTTGACAGTGATTAACCAGTCAAACGGCTTCAGAGAACCGCGAAATTCGTAGGTAAAATGTAAAGTCAATTTTTAGTCGATGTTATCCTCGGCGTCGCCTTCGTGCTTACTTAAACTCCCTATTAGCATTCCCTGGCCAAGGCGAAGGAATGAGTTTACTCTTTCTTCTGGTTTCTAACACTAACACACAACAACAATAAAAAAAAGCGCTGAAAGTAGGAAAGTAAATTGTGAACTGTACTGTTATTTTGTCATCCTTTCTTTAGTTTGGCCATGGCCTTCAACACATGTTAACTACTGTACCTTATTCAGATGCCGCTGGAATCCACAACATAGAATGGGATGCAGTAAGTTCCGTTATTTGTTTGTTAACTTTCACACGAAATTTACCATAGGCGCATAACTCAGGCATTTGGAGTAATTTGGACCGACTATGCTTTAAGATCGGAAAACAGTAGGGGAACATATTGCAGGGACGTAAAGCGGGACGTGTGTACGCAAAGGAAACTTATGCTGGGACAGTGCGCAAGTTGGTGCACACGAAGTAGATGTTGGTGTATGTCTGCAGTGCGAGCATCCTGACATAATCACGTAATAGCAATATAACGACTTAAGAAACAAAAACGGATCTTTTCCATATGTCTTCGTGTCGGTGTCCATATTAAGCGGTTATCTTGTTACGTCATTATGCTGTTGTGTCTGCAGTATCGTTATGTCGTTAGTCTTCACCTCACCAAACAAAAGGTTAATGAGCAAAGCGATGCACGTTTGTTTATATTTTTGCGCATTGTAGCTCTCCTCTGCAAAACAACAACAACGTGAACTATGCGTGAACTGACCAAGTTTTGTGTGTTTTGGAGAAAGCGAGCTACCATGACTAAATTTTAGTTTTTCCTTATTGGGATTGATCTCTGGTATATAATTAAAACTAGAAGAATGTTTACAGTTTCCCTGAATACATTACAGGTAGAACTTCCCTCACAGTTTATGGAAAACTGGCTCTATGACAAGACCACAATGAATTTGGTCAGTGGCCATTACCGCACCAACGACACTCTCCCGGATGAACTTTTCCAACAAGTTGTCAAAGGTAAGTGAACCTCATTGATTTCCTGGTAACAGTTTTATTGTAAACAAGTATAATATCAGTATTTACCCGTTATTTTCTCCTGGAAACACGTGTAGAACAACATGCAGTCCATTTCTGCTCAGAGACGCATCTGGAGAAGCATAAAACAGACGTGTAATTCGTGTCAGACATATATGATACGTCTAGATTAAAGCGAAATGTCAGAAACAGACGAAATGATTGTCCTTGTTTGCTGTCCTTTTAGTTAAGGTGAAAAAGAAATCATCTGAAATGAAAAGAAACTAGTATTCAGTAGAAAATATGTGCGTCTGGAAGAGCATCTATATTTGGATTATTTATTCGCCTTTTTTAAAAAAAGAAAGACAAATACGACCATTAGATGGAAAATCGTTTAAAGGTTTATGTTTTGTTTTATACAATAAAAGGAATTGACAGATACTTGTGAAAAAAAAGTTCGCGGCAAGTCTGACGCGGCGCATCGTCTCGGCCAAGAGACTCTTCAGAGACCTTTCAGAATTTAACATTTTTTTTTTTTATGGTAGCTCGTCGATTTATGGCCGGTTCACAGATGTTACGTCAGTTGTACTTCAGTGCTCTGGATATGGAACTTCACACCAGGTATGGAGCGCAAAGTAGCAACTCATGACATGAGGGTGGGAAGGCACGGGTTGGACTCTAGAACAAGCACTTTATGTGCAGACCGGTTTATAGCGCTGCTGACCGGGATTTTTGTGTTAAGTTCTTTGAAAAATCACTTTACTGTGGCAGTACCTCCCTCCAAATAGGAGTAGAAATAGGAAAACCTGACAGATTGCTTTCCTTGGGGGAGGGGGGGGGGGAGGAGATTAAGCAGTCCATGTGCGGATCGGCTTAAAGCACCGCTGAGCGGGTAATTGTGTTATGTTCTTGATGAAGTCACTTTACTGTCATAGTGCCTCCCTCCAAATAGAAGTAAAAATAGGGAAACCTCAGTGACAAAATACTCAAAATGGTTGGGGGAGAGGTTGGGCTGATAAGCTACCTTCCCCGGGATACAGGGGAGTACTTACAACAACCAAGCAACAACAGGAGACGCAGGTTACGTCATGGCCGATTGCCGATAGGAAAACGTTCGATCGCGTAGCCCCCGCAACCCTCGCTGCTTGTCGATCGTGTTCTTTTCGCGTTCAGTCGAGACCACGTCTTTTTTTAAATGCACCGCTCACAGTCTAAACCACTCACGAAGTACAAGTATTAAGGTGCCTCGCTGTACATCTATCAGTTATTTCTCGTTGTAAGTTACGTCTTGGACCAAACCGGGCACGCCTCTCAGTCTGTATCTGTTGCATCCGTCAGTATCTCAAGCTGAGAAGTTTAACATTTCGTTGTACCCATAGTTCAGAGCCATGGCGCGCAGTCCTTGAGAGAATCGCCGATGACTACACAGTGCTTAAACCACTTGATCAAGACAGATTTCCTTGTTCGTTTCTTCACATTTTTGCGTCTGGATATGCTGCCGGCTACTACTCTTACAAATGGGCTGAAGTAAGTTAGCTTTTGAGTTTTTTGAATTTATTTTTGAGTTCAAGGGATGAAGCAGTTTTAAACTGAACTTCTGTTATAGCGTTTGGTTGTTTTGCACTTGCTTTCAGGTGATGTCAGCTGATGCTTTCAGTGCGTTTGAAGAGGTCGGCCTGGACAACAGAGGTGCACTGAGTGAAGTTGGAAGAAGGTAATTCATAATATTCTCGTAAATCAAGCTTCCAAATAACAGCCATATTAATTATTCCAGAGGCTGCACACCAATGCATTCAAACGTCCTTACAACAACCACCTTTCTTCAATGACAAGTTAGTGGGACGCTTTAGAACACTGCAAAGAAAACTTCACCAGTGGCTTTGTACATGTGATATACACATTTTTTGCTGACCAATCACTTTCAACGGACCAGACTTATAACGTTATCGACTGACAAAAAATATTCACTTGACTCTGAAGATGACTTCTGCTCAGGTTGTCGAAACGTCGGTCATCAGCAATAGTTCTTTTCAGAACTACCCTCACCCAGGCGATTACACTATACAAAATGCACCTTGTTACCTATCTGAGCCCTCCTTTGTGGCCGGTTCAGAGACACCATACACCAAATACCTTTTTCGCTTTCTTTTCGAAATTATGGGTCAAAAAAACACCACGCACAGGTACTAAATAAATCACTTACAACAATTTATCTAAGCGGAGCGACTGATGACTGGATTTAACGACTGATTTCAATGGATTAGACAACAATTATCCCCCCTCCCACCCCGCATAATTATCAACCACAAATTTAGTGTTGACCCGAAAGATTTATTCTGAACGCTATAACGACGCGCATGCGTATTGCTGTGAAATCTTCTCTAGACTGAACTGACTGAACCAACAATCTGTTTCAAGTGTCTAATAAAAATGTTACGTCCCGTAGGTTCCGCGATACTGTGCTGGCCAGCGGTGGTGCCCGACACCCACGTGATGTTTTCCAAGACTTTCGCGGGCGGCCTCTCTCCTCAGACGCGTTGCTCAAAAGTTACGGTCTTCAGTGATGAAAGCAGATATTACTTCATGCTGCATAGCAACCCCTCTGACTACAAACAAGACCACTGTGGGTGCAGTTTATCCCAGCTACTTAGACGTTTCTTGTTTTCGCGGCAGAGTGCCTCGTGATCTAACGCGTTTTAGAAAAATGGACAGTTCAACGGATTTAAGAGGACGGACGTATAAAAAAGTTGGCGTCAATTTCTACATTTCTTAGTCTGCTCTTTTTTATAAAACAGAAAAGCCAAAAATGATCAAACGTAGACTTCAGACGAGGTAGAATTATTGGGGTACTTGATCGAGCCTGAATTTATTTTAGCCATTACGTTCCCGAAACTCGCAGCGATAGGTGTACTGAACTGATCTAGAAAATAAATTGCCACATTCGAAGGTATAATATAAGTTTTGGTTGTTTGTTGTTTTTTTTACTATTTGCCATCCTCGGCGGCGTCGTCGTCTTTGCTTTAAGCTACTATATTAGCCCGTACGGACACTAGTTAATACGGACAACAGATACTTCTCTCTGATAGTTTTTCTGTAACTATGCTCTCTTCTTCCTGACTGGAGAAATATTTTCCAGCGCAAAGTTAACCTCTCTTTAAGGACTCTGGTGATATGAGCACGGTATATTTTTTTTAAAAAAAGTAAGCGACTATTTTAAATAGATTGCATTGTGATGTACACGTTTGCGTTGCGTGAAGAACACCAACAGTCTAATATTAGCGCGAGAGATTCAGAGCTATTTGACCGGTCGACCGACCACGAAGCTTAATCATTTTGAACTTAAGCTCAAAATATAATATTTTTAGGGAAAGAAAACACAAGTTAGAGACATTGGGACATTACAATTTGGTCTTTTTTTCTTATTAATGGCTTTCTTTGGCGTTTTTGTCAATACTAAACATATCATGTGCAGTCTTATTCCGAGAGCTCGCTCAATGGGTTCAGTCAAATAATACAAGCACTTGCCTGTCCCTCTGGCGTTCATTCTAGTACTGACAATATTCCGAGACTCTGAAAAAAGTTCGCTGCTCAAAAAAATTCGGTCCCGAATATGATCCGGCAGTGCGCACCGCGTTCGCCGAAATGTTCTGAGGTATTTAACGATGCATGACTCTAATCTGTGAGCAGGCTCTTGGCGGGAAAAGAAATATGGGTTATTGACCAAGCTCGTTCGGTAAGATGGCTGGATATTGGCCAAGTTCTTTTTTTGCGAGTTTATACCGAAGTGAACCGGGTCCATAAACACTCAAAGAAAAAAGAGCGAGGCCAATATCCAGCCATCTTGACCGAACAAGCTTATTTATTATATGGAAAAAAAAAACCCACTATTTCCTTGCGGGACACAGCGGGTACTCCCGAGCGGTTAACATAGCACTATCCTGCCCGTTCGAGCAGCCAATCACAGCGCAGGATTTGGTTCATCTTGCCCGCTCACGGAGCTGGCCTTGTTTCCTCTCTTGCTTTTTCTTTTCGGCGCGAAGAGCCTGCTCACATGAATACAAACAAACACTTTATATTACAAACGTGTTTCTGCAGAAACTACTTCAGCCTTCTTCAGTACAAATTAGCTATATTCAATTTGCGTCTTCTGTGATATTGGCACTGAAGGAGACAGACGTGTTTACGGTAGACGCATGTTTGTAACATTTAAAATTGTCGTTTTATGTCTAAAACTTGAATTGTGACTTTTCTGCTGTCCAGCCCACTTGGAATATCCAGTTAGAATCCGGCCTGCCTCCGAATTCAACTCGAAAACGTCACGTGTATATTCTTGAACCACGCATTGCGTGCCCCTTACAGGAATGCTCAAGGACTCTAGAATCCGCGTTTGACTTGATTCACGTGTCTATGCTTCGATACTCTTGGACACCCCAGGTAAACACGATACGTGCGCCTTGGAAATTCTAGAATTCTATGGCTTCTCGATGGCATATCCGAGGCTACAATTCTCTAGGATATTTTTCGCTTTGTTGCAGTCGCTATAATCGAGTGCTTACACACACATCTACTATAAACCCCTACTATTCAAGCCCTGTTATCTATTTGTTTGGATAAAGACTCAAGTACAGAAGTCAGTAAAATATTCCTGTTCCTAGTTCATGGCAGTTTTTTAATACTTCTCAGCTTTATGTAAGGTTACCCAATCAATCATGACTTTTCCAAATTTGCCTTTTACTACTCAATAAAAGCTACTTTTCGACCTCACCAAGTTTTCGTGGGCAATAATTAGGTATCGTTTTAACGAGACAACAAACTAAGGCCCGTAATTCACATATTCTAAAGGAGTTGTTTATTGCCTTTCTTGCAGTACAATGCCAAATGAAACTCAATTTAAATTTCCACTTTGTATTAACATAATTATTCAGTTGTGGCTGCTAAAAAGAGTGAATCCGCTTATCAGAAACGGCATAAAAGAGACGAAAGTAATGTTACGTTCTAAGAACGACAAAAACTACATGTGAAAAAGTGAAAAAAGCAAAAAAGGCAAGAATACAATGCTCATCCGAGATACGTGACTTTAACACTCGATAGAGCAGAACGCATCACGATTTAATTCGAAATAACTTTTCTGGCTAGAATCTATGATAAACCTTATCCTAATCTCAAATTTAAGTTCAAAGAGGAAAACTAACGCTTAGTTAGACGTGCAAGTTGTTTCAACACTAATTTGACCTTGAGCTAAAAACTCAATTAGCGCGTGACTGTTAACATGCGCCATCATTCCAAATGTTGCGACATGGTCGGAGCAGGAATTTCATCTATGCGTGAAAGCGTACAACGCGAAAAATTTTCTTTTACTGTAGAAGTTATAGTAATATCGTTGTAACGTCAAGGGTAGACCTTAAACGAAATAAAGGTTTGTTAAATGATAGTCTAACCACGATTTACAAATACGAAAAGGCGAACTGAAAGATGAAACGTACGAACAAATTTATTTGAGGAAACTGGCTTTTTCTTACGAACGCAGTTCCCTAGGAAGATCGCAGGGACTACATCACTCCCTATGGGGCTACTTCGGGGACATTTTAAGTAACATTTTCGATACATCGCCCGTCGTTGTACTGCATGAAGTGCAAAAATAAAAGTAGAAAAATACACACAAAAATCTGAACTGGAGGAATATGAGGAATATTTTCAATATGTAGAAGATGACTTTGGAATTTTAAGAAACGGGGCGGGAAATGACTTCATCTACTCAAAAGGACAAAAAGAAAACACGGCCTTGAAAGTGGATACCGCTGGTATAAACCGAAATAATGAAAATCATAAAACAAAAGAAAGGTGTGAGTATTTAAAGTGGAACTATGTATTGTCCTGCGAGTGCTGCTGCGAGCAACAATTTTAGAGTCACATGGTCATGCATGCATGCGGTTTGCCAGTAACTTTACAACGTTGCAAAGACGGCCAGGCAAATATCACAAGTACAAATTTGACAAAGATACATGCATGCTTATCGTATGATTAGCGATGTTATGTTAGAGTTTATTTTTCAATTTTCGAACATGTTTGCTAAGTCATTTCATCAAATCTAACTAAGATTTGTCTGTCATGCATCTGCTAGATATTCACTGAATTTAGGTGAACCGATGTCACCTCTAGGGTGAAATAATGCCCACCAAATCAAGACGGCGTTGTTATCTACTTTACTCTCTGAAAAAAGACTCACTTGCATACAGCTTACTTAACTAGCAATTAAATATCTCTTGTTGTGTTTGCCGAGTTGTGGAGAGAGGTATACCCCGCTACGCCTTTAGAACTTCTATTGATTTGCTTGACAAAAGAACGTAATTAACCTATCCGTTTGGCCTATGACGTTGCCTTCCTGTGTTTATAAAACACAACGGCAAATCAGCAAGCAGAACTGATGCTGTCTTACATAAGGTATATAAATGAAATGAAGCGTAGGAATGTTTCATTAAGTAGCCGACAACTTAGCTTGAGACTTACCTACATTGCATCGATCGCGAGCAACAAGTCGGCCGTCGGCAATGACGCCGACGAGAATGCTGCTGTCCTTATGGACTTTTACATGTGGTAAGAAGTGCTCCACAAAGTTGTAGTTCGCAAATATTTAGATATTTACCGGCTCTTCAACACAAGGTTGATAACTTGAGCTCACAGTAACCTTGATTCTCCTATTATTTGCTTCTCTTTAGCTGTCGTGGTTACAACTGCAGTTGGTGAGTGTTTCGTCTGTTTGCTTTCGCTCATTGATAAGTAATGTTATTGATTCTTCTGTATAACAAGAGTAAAGCTCGTTCCATCTGAGGCCCTGGTTATTACTGAATCTGGTCGAATCTGAAAGCATTGAAGCATTTTCACTGTATATTTTCATCTTAGCGTAAGCACGTTTTCCAAAGTAAACATGTCTTTTGCCTTTCTTAAATGCGCTTAGATCATTTTCATTACGTGTTTTGCGGTTTCCACCTTTCTGCAAATTAGCGGAAGAAAATACTGATTCACTTGACATTAACTTATTCAAAACGTTTGGGTTCAGTTCTCACATGAAGCACAATTAGGTTTGCTAAGACGCTTTTTTTGTTTTTCAAAGCTTATGGTTTGCGAGGGTTTAAGTTAATCGATCTTGAACAAAACTCTCTGTAAACCACAGTAATACGTGGAAGAAAAGTGAAGATTTCATCACATCATTGCGAGTTTAGTCATGTGTGTTCTTTAATCGAGACGAGCTAGAATTTTGATCGGGTTTTCCGCTAGCTTAGCTTGCTGTTTGAATACATATTAACAGCGCTTTAGACGGTGAAGCCGCATTACATCCGCATTGTTCGTATTTTAACGACTTAATTCGATCAAATAAGCTTCTAATGCCGAAGATACAATGCCGAATATACAATAACTTGTAAGTCCAGATATGAAACAGTTCGTCAAAACAACGATATTGGACTCTGAAGTCCAGATAACAGATCCTTTCCATACTCCAAATCGAAAATGTCATTCTCCCAAAACGGAATGGTGGTTTCTTTCATAAAAAATTAAACTCTTTGTCAAAGAACCGTTCCCACGAATGGCTAAATGTTTGCACTATTTTCAAACAAAATCAATTTCAGCATGATGCTGGGCTAGATGAGACCACAAAAGAGAGCGATAAAAATTATGAAAACTCAGTTTACAATAGTTTGGGTCATGCTGTGCAAATCAAGTTCGTTCGAAAGCTGTCCGTGTAAACAAGAGCTCCAATCACAGATTTTATTATTTCATTTCCATAGACCGTATGAAAACGTCACTCCTTCCTCTAACAAGAAATGCTGGATTGTTTTACACATGGCGAAATTCATTCTGCCACTAAACCTTTTACACATCCTCTTTAATTGGCTAATGATTCTTTTCTCAATCTTGTTTTTTTCTTGCGCTGGATCGTGTGTTAAGACTAGTCTCCATATTACAGTCACAACAGGAAAACTTGAGCGACCCTCTCGATTACCTTTTTCCGACCCTCTCGACTAACTTTTCCGTATGGCCGCTACGATCGTCAAGATTGAACCAGCCTATCTCATCGATCGTTTTCGATTGCTGCGTCGCTGGAGCGTGGTTTCCTTATGATCGCAACAATCGCTCAGCGTTGTTTTTTTCCGGCAATTGCAGAGTTTGAAGCAATCATATCATATGGAAGCCAGTCTAAGTGATCGCCTTTAAAGATCGATCATGCGGAACCAGCCTTAAGAACTTTACTACAGATCGAAGTAGTTGTAATGGCTCCAGCTGTTAGCGTAGCCCAAAGGTCTTAACGTAAGCTGCGCTGAGTTACTGAAGGAATAGAGATCATTTTCCGTACGGTTTCTATCGAGATATAGGAACACGACTGGAAGTTTGGGAGAACGAGAAATGTTGTGGGAACACGAGCCGATACGCGAGTGTCTTTCGAGTTCTAGCAAACGTTCACCAGTGTCACTATAATTCAACAGAAACACAAAGAAAATGTTGTCCATCTTTTAAGAAAACAGGCCAAACAAAATAACAAANATTCCGAGAGCTCGCTCAATGGGTTCAGTCAAATAATACAAGCACTTGCCTGTCCCTCTGGCGTTCATTCTAGTACTGACAATATTCCGAGACTCTGAAAAAAGTTCGCTGCTCAAAAAAATTCGGTCCCGAATATGATCCGGCAGTGCGCACCGCGTTCGCCGAAATGTTCTGAGGTATTTAACGATGCATGACTCTAATCTGTGAGCAGGCTCTTGGCGGGAAAAGAAATATGGGTTATTGACCAAGCTCGTTCGGTAAGATGGCTGGATATTGGCCAAGTTCTTTTTTTGCGAGTTTATACCGAAGTGAACCGGGTCCATAAACACTCAAAGAAAAAAGAGCGAGGCCAATATCCAGCCATCTTGACCGAACAAGCTTATTTATTATATGGAAAAAAAAAACCCACTATTTCCTTGCGGGACACAGCGGGTACTCCCGAGCGGTTAACATAGCACTATCCTGCCCGTTCGAGCAGCCAATCACAGCGCAGGATTTGGTTCATCTTGCCCGCTCACGGAGCTGGCCTTGTTTCCTCTCTTGCTTTTTCTTTTCGGCGCGAAGAGCCTGCTCACATGAAAACAAACAAACACTTTATATTACAAACGTGTTTCTGCAGAAACTACTTCAGCCTTCTTCAGTACAAATTAGCTATATTCAATTTGCGTCTTCTGTGATATTGGCACTGAAGGAGACAGACGTGTTTACGGTAGACGCATGTTTGTAACATTTAAAATTGTCGTTTTATGTCTAAAACTTGAATTGTGACTTTTCTGCTGTCCAGCCCACTTGGAATATCCAGTTAGAATCCGGCCTGCCTCCGAATTCAACTCGAAAACGTCACGTGTATATTCTTGAACCACGCATTGCGTGCCCCTTACAGGAATGCTCAAGGACTCTAGAATCCGCGTTTGACTTGATTCACGTGTCTATGCTTCGATACTCTTGGACACCCCAGGTAAACACGATACGTGCGCCTTGGAAATTCTAGAATTCTATGGCTTCTCGATGGCATATCCGAGGCTACAATTCTCTAGGATATTTTTCGCTTTGTTGCAGTCGCTATAATCGAGTGCTTACACACACATCTACTATAAACCCGTACTATTCAAGCCCTATTATCTATTTGTTTGGATAAAGACTCAAGTACAGAAGTCAGTAAAATATTCCTGTTCCTAGTTCATGGCAGTTTTTTAATACTTCTCAGCTTTATGTAAGGTTACCCAATCAATCATGACTTTTCCAAATTTGCCTTTTACTACTCAATAAAAGCTACTTTTCGACCTCACCAAGTTTTCGTGGGCAATAATTAGGTATCGTTTTAACGAGACAACAAACTAAGGCCCGTAATTCACATATTCTAAAGGAGTTGTTTATTGCCTTTCTTGCAGTACAATGCCAAATGAAACTCAATTTAAATTTCCACTTTGTATTAACATAATTATTCAGTTGTGGCTGCTAAAAAGAGTGAATCCGCTTATCAGAAACGGCATAAAAGAGACGAAAGTAATGTTACGTTCTAAGAACGACAAAAACTACATGTGAAAAAGTGAAAAAAGCAAAAAAGGCAAGAATACAATGCTCATCCGAGATACGTGACTTTAACACTCGATAGAGCAGAACGCATCACGATTTAATTCGAAATAACTTTTCTGGCTAGAATCTATGATAAACCTTATCCTAATCTCAAATTTAAGTTCAAAGAGGAAAACTAACGCTTAGTTAGACGTGCAAGTTGTTTCAACACTAATTTGACCTTGAGCTAAAAACTCAATTAGCGCGTGACTGTTAACATGCGCCATCATTCCAAATGTTGCGACATGGTCGGAGCAGGAATTTCATCTATGCGTGAAAGCGTACAACGCGAAAAATTTTCTTTTACTGTAGAAGTTATAGTAATATCGTTGTAACGTCAAGGGTAGACCTTAAACGAAATAAAGGTTTGTTAAATGATAGTCTAACCACGATTTACAAATACGAAAAGGCGAACTGAAAGATGAAACGTACGAACAAATTTATTTGAGGAAACTGGCTTTTTCTTACGAACACAGTTCCCTAGGAAGATCGCAGGGACTACATCACTACCTATGGGGCTACTTCGGGGACATTTTAAGTAACATTTTCGATACATCGCCCATCGTTGTACTGCATGAAGAGCAAAAATAAAAGTAGAAAAATACACACAAAAATCTGAACTGGAGGAATATGAGGAATATTTTCAATATGTAGAAGATGACTTTGGAATTTTAAGAAACGGGGCGGGAAATGACTTCATCTACTCAAAAGGACAAAAAGAAAACACGGCCTTGAAAGTGGATACCGCTGGTATAAACCGAAATAATGAAAATCATAAAACAAAAGAAAGGTGTGAGTATTTAAAGTGGAACTATGTATTGTCCTGCGAGTGCTGCTGCGAGCAACAATTTTAGAGTCACATGGTCATGCATGCATGCGGTTTGCCAGTAACTTTACAACGTTGCAAAGACGGCCAGGCAAATATCACAAGTACAAATTTGACAAAGATACATGCATGCTTATCGTATGATTAGCGATGTTATGTTAGAGTTTATTTTTCAATTTTCGAACATGTTTGCTAAGTCATTTCATCAAATCTAACTAAGATTTGTCTGTCATGCATCTGCTAGATATTCACTGAATTTAGGTGAACCGATGTCACCTCTAGGGTGAAATAATGCCCACCAAATCAAGACGGCGTTGTTATCTACTTTACTCTCTGAAAAAAGACTCACTTGCATACAGCTTACTTAACTAGCAATTAAATATCTCTTGTTGTGTTTGCCGAGTTGTGGAGAGAGGTATACCCCGCTACGCCTTTAGAACTTCTATTGATTTGCTTGACAAAAGAACGTAATTAACCTATCCGTTTGGCCTATGACGTTGCCTTCCTGTGTTTATAAAACACAACGGCAAATCAGCAAGCAGAACTGATGCTGTCTTACATAAGGTATATAAATGAAATGAAGCGTAGGAATGTTTCATTAAGTAGCCGACAACTTAGCTTGAGACTTACCTACATTGCATCGATCGCGAGCAACAAGTCGGCCGTCGGCAATGACGCCGACGAGAATGCTGCTGTCCTTATGGACTTTTACATGTGGTAAGAAGTGCTCCACAAAGTTGTAGTTCGCAAATATTTAGATATTTACCGGCTCTTCAACACAAGGTTGATAACTTGAGCTCACAGTAACCTTGATTCTCCTATTATTTGCTTCTCTTTAGCTGTCGTGGTTACAACTGCAGTTGGTGAGTGTTTCGTCTGTTTGCTTTCGCTCATTGATAAGTAATGTTATTGATTCTTCTGTATAACAAGAGTAAAGCTCGTTCCATCTGAGGCCCTGGTTATTACTGAATCTGGTCGAATCTGAAAGCATTGAAGCATTTTCACTGTATATTTTCATCTTAGCGTAAGCACGTTTTCCAAAGTAAACATGTCTTTTGCCTTTCTTAAATGCGCTTAGATCATTTTCATTACGTGTTTTGCGGTTTCCACCTTTCTGCAAATTAGCGGAAGAAAATACTGATTCACTTGACATTAACTTATTCAAAACGTTTGGGTTCAGTTCTCACATGAAGCACAATTAGGTTTGCTAAGACGCTTTTTTTGTTTTTCAAAGCTTATGGTTTGCGAGGGTTTAAGTTAATCGATCTTGAACAAAACTCTCTGTAAACCACAGTAATACGTGGAAGAAAAGTGAAGATTTCATCACATCATTGCGAGTTTAGTCATGTGTGTTCTTTAATCGAGACGAGCTAGAATTTTGATCGGGTTTTCCGCTAGCTTAGCTTGCTGTTTGAATACATATTAACAGCGCTTTAGACGGTGAAGCCGCATTACATCCGCATTGTTCGTATTTTAACGACTTAATTCGATCAAATAAGCTTCTAATGCCGAAGATACAATGCCGAATATACAATAACTTGTAAGTCCAGATATGAAACAGTTCGTCAAAACAACGATATTGGACTCTGAAGTCCAGATAACAGATCCTTTCCATACTCCAAATCGAAAATGTCATTCTCCCAAAACGGAATGGTGGTTTCTTTCATAAAAAATTAAACTCTTTGTCAAAGAACCGTTCCCACGAATGGCTAAATGTTTGCACTATTTTCAAACAAAATCAATTTCAGCATGATGCTGGGCTAGATGAGACCACAAAAGAGAGCGATAAAAATTATGAAAACTCAGTTTACAATAGTTTGGGTCATGCTGTGCAAATCAAGTTCGTTCGAAAGCTGTCCGTGTAAACAAGAGCTCCAATCACAGATTTTATTATTTCATTTCCATAGACCGTATGAAAACGTCACTCCTTCCTCTAACAAGAAATGCTGGATTGTTTTACACATGGCGAAATTCATTCTGCCACTAAACCTTTTACACATCCTCTTTAATTGGCTAATGATTCTTTTCTCAATCTTGTTTTTTTCTTGCGCTGGATCGTGTGTTAAGACTAGTCTCCATATTACAGTCACAACAGGAAAACTTGAGCGACCCTCTCGATTACCTTTTTCCGACCCTCTCGACTAACTTTTCCGTATGGCCGCTACGATCGTCAAGATTGAACCAGCCTATCTCATCGATCGTTTTCGATTGCTGCGTCGCTGGAGCGTGGTTTCCTTATGATCGCAACAATCGCTCAGCGTTGTTTTTTTCCGGCAATTGCAGAGTTTGAAGCAATCATATCATATGGAAGCCAGTCTAAGTGATCGCCTTTAAAGATCGATCATGCGGAACCAGCCTTAAGAACTTTACTACAGATCGAAGTAGTTGTAATGGCTCCAGCTGTTAGCGTAGCCCAAAGGTCTTAACGTAAGCTGCGCTGAGTTACTGAAGGAATAGAGATCATTTTCCGTACGGTTTCTATCGAGATATAGGAACACGACTGGAAGTTTGGGAGAACGAGAAATGTTGTGGGAACACGAGCCGATACGCGAGTGTCTTTCGAGTTCTAGCAAACGTTCACCAGTGTCACTATAATTCAACAGAAACACAAAGAAAATGTTGTCCATCTTTTAAGAAAACAGGCCAAACAAAATAACAAACAACGTGACTACGACAACTTTTAACCTCTCAGCGCGCGTATTTTCTTTTAGTTATTTTCATCAGTTCCTTCGAGCTAAAAAGTGAATGTTCTACGCCTCTCTTTGAACCATTTGAGATGATGAAGCGCTAATTATTGGACAGTTCAGTGCAAAATAATTTATTCTAAATGTGAATTTAACCACACTTCTTGTTTTGGAAGTTGAAAATCGAAAACTAAACGCTTTTTAGGTATATGGGCTGATTTCATAGCGCAGTATAAGGTATTAAGCTTTAGCTTTCAGAAAATCCTTCGAAACGTTTGCGAAAGTAGAGTTGAGAATTAATAGTACAATTCCTTAGCAAAAAGTATGAAAAGTAACTTCCAATATTGTTGCTTTTATATATATATATCAAAATTAAAACAGAATTCAAAATTCTAAGCATACTGTGAACACTGTCAAACCAAAATTGTGTCCCAGTTGGGTTCAAGGCATCAATGATGGATGTCTAGACTGTTATTGCAGTAGTGTTCTCCTCAGTTGGGGAGCGATTTCAAACCATGTTAGGGTTTTAAGGGAAAGAGTCGAACGGTATTCAAAATATCCATAGGAATCAGAGATAGTTTCTGACGAATTTCAAGAACGCTGGATTATTTTTCAACCGTAAATTTACTTACAACGTTCTAGCAATGAGCCTGTGTTTTCTCGTGGCGCAGTATTTTCATCACTGTGCCCATTTACAGCAAATAGTGCCTTAATTGACTTCAAAATATTTTGTGAGTTTAAATATTTATAAATATATTTAGACAATGTTTGCTGTAAATGGGAAGAGTGATAAAATTCACCATTATTGAATAAAAACGTTGCAGTCTCAATTATGATGCTTCCGTTGAACATTTGGAGCCAAATACACGCTGGTAACCTTCACAAACTTAACGACTTGCCCTTGACTCCCGCTACGTGATATGAACGTTCTAACCAACAATAGGCCATCGCTTAAAAGATGTTCGCTTGAAGTCTAGCAGAGAAAGTATGGCTGTAAATGACAAAAAAAATTTTATGAATGAACCTGACTGATTGTGTTTCACACGGATATCTCGGGCGTCGAAGATCGAATGTGTTTTGTGTAATGTTCCGTTACTCCAGCCTCCAGAAATACATTTTGTAAGCAAAATTTAAAATAGAAAGTTATGCACAGCATGAATAGAACATTTGCATTTTCGAAGAAGAACGAGATTGCGTTTTAATGGAGTTAGTGAGTGAAGAAACGTTTAAAAACTTCTTGAAAACAATGTAGATTTAGTTGAGTGAATTGAACAAAATGTTATTTTGCAGTTTCGCGTTCGAATCAAGAAAGACATTTCTTCTGCAATACAGAGCAAAAACACGAAGTTTGTTAAAATTCCCTTTTATCGTCAATTTTGGCCTTCATGACCTAAGGTCGGAAAATATTCTTGGTGTGTTTACTGCTGTTATTGCAGACGAACTGATTCTTTCACATATTATCATATTGACGTTTTTTTTTGGTGCATGATTTTTGCCCAGATTGCGTTGAGTACTTACAGTTCTCTGGAAAACAAACAGCAATTAGCGTACATCTACCGTAAGCTTAAATGGTTTACGAAAGTTGAGAGTCAGATAACGAAGATGAAAGCACAGGTGTCTTTGGTGACAACTATAAAAGGAACGTACAATTTGTTTTTGAAGAACAAAAACCTCTCCTCACGACTTATTGTTTGCAATGGTTAAGTAGACAATTATCACGTAGTCTTAAGAAATATTAACAAATGGTTTGGTTAGTAAACACGTCTGATGATTGTAATCTAACGTTTGTGGCATGTCGGTTTGGTCTTAGTTAAAAACTTTACACTAGTTTTACAACAGTGTTGTTTTGGTTGACGTGGATGCTTCAATAGTGAATGTTTGTACTTGACCTTGGGAATGTGAACCATCGTTTTTAAAATGAGCATCTCATTCAATCGAGCCACAGCGGGGTCCAGTTCGCACCCGGAGAGAGCTTGCACTACGCTGAGTTTTCTTGAGATTATTGAAACTATTTACAGTGCATGCACCAAAGAACAGCAATTACCTTCATTTATAGCATAAAGGCCTCGTTGAGATCATTTGGGAGTTGGATAGAATGGAATTTAATTTTCCCTTCACTTTTCGTTTGATTCAATAATTAACTCCATGTTAGTAGGGGGTCATTTTTGGACTTATTACCTGCTTTAGCTGCACTTAACTAATTAAAATACTGATTAGCACGTTCCAATAAACGTCAATGATTCTGCCGCGAAATAATTTCATCATCACACGTCATTTTCTCGATCTTCAATACGGTAGTTGTTATATGCAGTGGTACGCGTGATGTTGAACCAAGTTTATGGTCTTAGCTCCCACAAGTCTCGTGTAGTTCAGTGGAAGAGCATCTGGACTAATAACCACAAGATGTTAGGTTCGAATCCTGCCTGGCTGGAGAATTCGGAATTATTTTTCCAAGCATGCTCGTGTCACTTACAGAAAGTCGTTTAAATTTACTGATTCTATTTTGTTTCCATTCAGCGCCCTCTCTCTAATAAACTCCATCACTCAAATAAACTTGCTCCCCTTTTAAATGTGCTTTTTTTATGAAAGAGCGCTCATGTTTCGATGAGCACCCCCTATCCCCGGAAATTAAGACGCCAATAAACCCCTCTATTCTGATACCTTCCTATTTCAATTATGCCCCTATTTGGATAATCCCCCTATTTCAATAAACCCTTTTACTCAATAAACGCCCGCTTTCATTTTTACCCCCCGTACTGTCAGCCAGTCATCGCTCAATGTTAATTATGGTTTTATTGTCTCTTTCACCTGTTAATCATCGTTATCATTGCTGTTATCTGTTATTATCATGACCATTATCATTATTATTATATGTCTGTCTGAGAAAATTACTTCATTGTGATCGGCTGAGAGTGGGCCAATTTTTCAGTAATTTTTATTCAGTCAGACAATAAATGAGTAATTGTATGAAAGCTCGAAAAGTGAAGTATTCACACTACTCGTGCTATTTGAAAATTCTTTCAAATTGTACTCGCCCTAAAGGTTCGCGCAATTTTGAGAGAATTTCAAACATCACTCGTAGTGTAAATCATCCATTGCACTTTTATTCATGCGATTACCTATATTAACGGCCAATTCACTCTATGAGTTGCGCCTGCAGGGAATCACGGTAGTTGTATTCATCATCTTGGACTGGATATTTGTTTTGGTGAATACGACTACCATGATTCCTTGCAAGCGCGTCTCATAGAGGGAACTGGCCATTGTCAGTTGTCAGCCATGAATAGTAAAGCCAGTATAATGAATTGTTGACGTCATATCTTCATCAACAGAACCCAAAGTCTACAAGATTGGACCCACCCAAGGGAGCCTGGCAGGGGGCACCATGGTTTTCATTCACGGAGAAGGTGCGTTAACATCACTTCCCCTCTCTGTTCCGCTTATAGTCCGCCCCCCTACTCCACATCCGTGGTTATAGTCCCATTTATTTGAACGACTTCCAAACTTAATGTTCGAATCCGCGCTATTTACACAGTTTCAATCTGAATTTGAAAACCTTGACATACTTAGGGCGGACACAGGGAGGACGTTCATAAGTGGTCTGCTCGAGAACATTGTAAACTAAAAATTGAGACCTGATGCGGCGAAACACTTTCTCACAATAACGTGTCGCGTCGATTCTTAACCCTAGCTATTTTTGGCCGCCCGCTTCGCTGCGCTCGACTTTTGTACAATGAGAGTTAACCCCGGGGGAGGTACTTTGGGAATTTCTGGGTGGTGATGTG